CACCGCCGCGCTTCCCAAGCGGCGCACTATCCAGTGCGCCACCGGGCCGGCCTAGGACAATGGCTTTGAGCTTCCACATGAGCCCTGGGGTGAAGCTGACTTGAAAGGAAACTGGACAAAACAAATCCTAGGACTTTACCTAAAGCTGAAAAAAACAAATGGCTCCCCTAGTCACATAAACAAACAAAAAGGGCCCAGCAAACAAAACTACAGGAATGGACACATCTAAAGGCTGTCCCCAATTTGTACTTTCTCTAGAAGCACCACTCTCTCGAGGCCAGACCTCCACCTGAAATGCACCCTTTTCTGAGCAGCTCTTCCCTCTTGCTGCATGAGAGCAGGAGCGAATGTCCCTGCCCCCCGCTGTCCCCACTCTCACCATCTCATAGGTCTGCATAGCCAGCTGAACCTTGTCATCGCTGTACTCCTTGCACTTGCTGTAGGCGCTCTGGATCCTCTGCAGGCGCTCCACACGCTGCTCTGGAGAAAGCGTCTTCACCGTGGAGATGTACTCTGCCGCCAGGAGATCGATCTCTGCCTTCTTATCTGATGGGAGATGGTTGAAGAGCTAGCCCTGCACGAGATTCCACTGCACGCTCACCAGACCGGCAACAAACATAGTCTGACAATGCCAAGTGGTGGCAAAGATGTGGACTGCCACAAACTCAAGCTCTGCCAATGGCAGCACGAACAGGCACAAGGACTTTGACAATACAGTCTGTATCACGTGGATGTGCAGACCTGACAGCAGGGCACCCTGCCCAGGACAGTCCCAGTTTATGACTGCTGTCCAGCAAGTGCTCACAGGGTCCTCTTTCACTCTCAAGTCTGAATAACAAACGGTGGTCACCTTACCTATGATCTGGCATGCTACTCTTGGTTGTATGCCCTGAAGAAATGTTGAGTACTCAGGCACCAGGATACACACAGGAAAACATTCATAACAGCAGAAAAACAGACAACAACCCAATGTCCAATCAACAGTAAAGCTGATAAATAAGCTGTGGTCCATTCACACAGCAGAATGCTACCCAGAAACAAAANTCGATCTCTGCCTTCTTATCTGATGGGAGATGGTTGAAGAGCTAGCCCTGCACGAGATTCCGCTGCACGCTCACCAGACCGGCAACAAACATAGTCTGACAATGCCAAGTGGTGGCAAAGACGTGGACTGCCACAAACTCAAGCTCTGCCAATGGCAGCACGAACAGGCACAAGGACTTTGACAATACAGTCTGTATCACGCGGATGTGCAGACCTGACAGCAGGGCACCCTGCCCAGGACAGTCCCAGTTTATGACTGCTGTCCGGCAAGTGCTCACAGGGTCCTCTTTCACTCTCAAGTCTGAATAACAAACGGTGGTCACCTTACCTATGATCTGGCATACTACTCTTGGTTGTATGCCCTGAAGAAATGTGAGTACTCAGGCACCAGGATACACACAGGAAAACATTCATAACAGCAGAAAAACAGACAACAACCCAATGTCCAATCAATAGTAAAGCTGATAAATAAGCTGTGGTCCATTCACACAGCAGAATGCTACCCAGAAACAAAAAGAACAAACTACAGCTGCACATAACAATGTGGCTTAATCCCACAAGAGGTGATAATGATCAAAAAAGAGCAAGATACAAAGGAAAACACAGTGCATGAGTCCGTTAATACTGAGAGGGGGAACAGACACAATGCTTAAGTCTTTGGCTTAGAGAGGTGAGAAAACAGTTGTTGAAGGTAGAAAAGGATTATCACCAAGCTCAGGGCAGCAGCCCCTTGGTGGGGGAAGGGTCTCATGATTAGGAGGGTCGCACAGGCTTCCAGGGGCTAGAGGGCTCAGTCTCTCCACTGGGGTTGTAGAAGTTCACTTGGTAATACTTGTTAAGCAACCTATAAACATTTTATGCTTACTTCTGAATGTATGCTATATTTCACAATAAAAGAAGTCTCTATATTCCCTAGTCAAGATGCTGTACCTAAGTGAAAAACTACAGCTACCCCAATCTTGCAAAACATATGCCCAGCATAATGAATAAAAAATCTTCCACACTAAAGCACATCTTCATGAAATTTAAAACCTCAGGTATAAACAGAACATCCCAAAAGATTCTGAATAGAAAAGAAGAAAAAACAGATGACATATACAAAGGATCAGGGATCCAAATGGCATCAGATTTCTTACCAGCCACATGCAAGCTGGGAGACAACACAGCAAAGAGAGATTGAGTGTCAACCTGGAATTCTATACCCAGCCAAACTACCAATCAAATGTGAGGCTACAACACATACATTGTGAAACATACAATGTTACAAGAAATTTACCTTTCTATGTACCTTTTTTCAGGAAGCTACCAGAGGAAAGGCTCCTCCAAAACAAGAGTGTAAATCTAAAAAGAGGATGTTTAAGATCCAGGGAACAGGGTCCCACACTGAAGAGAGTGAAGGGAGATCCCAGGAAATTCCAGGGCAATGACCGTGCAGCAGGCCTAGAAACAATCAGGACAGAGGGCTCCATGGAAAGCACACACAGAACTGTAGGGAACCTGATGGTCAGATCACACCAAAAACTCTTGCGGTGGAAAACAGAGCCACAAACAAGGCAATTAGTAACTCCAAGAAAAGGTCATCTAAGCACAGCACGAGGTACAGCTCAGTCATAAACACACAGCTGCCCTGATGTAAATACCATCACTGGTCTCACCACAAATTCTAGCAAACCACACCCACAAGATGGGGGAGGGAGGTGTGTGCACACAAGTTGGGGGCCACTGGAGAAGTACATCTTCATTAACCACAATGTAAATAAATAAAGTCTAAAACTGATGTGAAATAAAAGAAATAGCAACAAAAACATACTGTTTAGAAATAGGAAGTCAAATACCAAGAGATCAAAAAATACTACCTCACTATTCAAACTATACACTCAGTTTGGAAATAGAACATTTTTAAAAGAAAAAGGCAACAATATTTTGGCTTGAAGAATGATGGCTATAAAGATGCAACATGAAGATGTATAAGAATCCAAGAAAGTAAACTTGATTTTCTAAGTACCAACATTCTATCCAAGACACTGTATGAAGCCACAGCCTAGGGTTAGGCCATGGCCCCACTACACCAGATCCCCTCAAAGCAAGCTGCTGGGCCCCTCAGCTGTCAGAGTCCAGCTCTGGCTGTGAGAGGCCTGAACCCACCTTCTGTCCTCTGGTCCAGCTCTCGCATCAGTTGGAAGTTCCTCTGAAGTTCACAAGGAAGGTTCTCAATGCCTGAAACACAAAGACATAGGAGCTGTGTACTTCTTGGTAGCAGGGCAAAAATCTGCCTCCAAGGTTTTACTCCTAAAGTCTACAATGACAAGCCCACTTTATGTCTGTTTCTGTTAGGGTTGAGGGACCAGAAGGATTAAGCCCTGTTTTTCAGGGACAGGTACCAAACAATGCTGACAACAGGCTGACACACTTCAGTTGTCAGAAGTTAGTTAAGTTAGAAGAAAACTTAGAAAAAGACTCCAGCCTAGGCAGGTGAGACAGCCCGTGTGACTCTGCCACCCCGTGTGACTCTGCCACCCCAGACCCATTCCTCACCCTCTTGATCTCCTGGCCTGCTCTCCTGGTGCCAGCGCATGAACGTTCTCCTATTAAACCCTCCGTAGGAGGTCCACTAGGTAGGTACCAGGACAGGAAGGGCGTCCAGTCCAGCATGCTCCCCATTTCAGCTCTCCCACCCAGGGATTCTCCCCTCCCCACCCCCAGTACATAGGCCTACCAATAGAGCAGAGCAAAGGGTCAGAATTGGGCCCCCTCTGCTGGACCCCCTCAGGGAAGGCTAGATCCCCACCCTCTCTCCACATGCCCCGGTGGCCTCCAGCTCAGAGTAGGCAGCTCACTCACCACTCTCAGCCACCTCGCCGTCCTGAATGGCCAGGCCCAAGGGAGTAGGTATCCCTGGTGCAGCAACCCCATAAGGGCACTCCACAGCCACCCAGCCCAACCCCAACCACCGTGACCCCAAGGCAGTGACCACCCCGGGCAGACCGTCAGGGTTCACGCGTGGGCTCTGCCAGGCTAGGAGCTAGATGACCTCGAGCAAGCGGCTCAGCCGCTCGGGACCTGCTTTCCTCATCTGCAAAGTGCGGGAAATAATCACTCACTCAGTTCTCAGGAAGACCCACCCTGTGGCTACCTGTAAACAGACCCACTGTACAGACCATCACAGCCTTAAGACGTCACCCAACCCTGTGACTGCCGGGGCACCCCGCGGGAGAAACGCACCCCAGCAACCCCACCACGCCAGCACG